GTGTGTGTGTTGTGTGTGTGTTGTCGCAAAAACCTAGCGGTAGTTCGACCTCAAACGTCTCTTCTCCTTTTTTCCCCTTCACTGTCATGGGAGTGATTTCGGCCTTGTAAAACCCGGCATCTTGAGCTTTCTTCCAAAGCTCTTGTGAGCGCAATGCGAAAGCGTCGGCATCATTACGGGTTACCTAAAACGAGATATAGCCTCAGACGATTCAGCTGGAAACTATCGAAGAAAACTTACCTTATACTGCGCTCCAAGCTTCTCCGCGGTTTGTCCCATAGCGAGTTTGGCGTAGGAATCAGTAAGAGATTCCCATAACATGTCTTCGAACTTAATAATAAATAATTATATGAACAAATGCTGAATTACTTTCAATTAACATCCCTAAAAACCTACATAACCGCACCGTTCATGCAATGGTTACTAACTGACAAGGCCCAAAAATCAGTGGTGGGGTTCAAGCGTGTAAAATGACATTTCATCTCAACTCATGAAAGGACTCTACTCATTCCGTGACAAGTTCCTATGCTAATCCCACGCTAATAACTTCAGCTGGGAGAAGGTGGTGCAGTAGCACGTGGCCCGCACAGCACACGCGCGCTCCGAGAGCCAATGCCCGGATCGACTCCCGCCTAGACCAAGTCTTCTATCTCCCGGGGGCGGTCAGCCAGTGCCGGAAGCGCCTTAAAGGGCAAAAATCTTGAGTGCACATCGGCAGGTTCCAGCAACTCGTTGCATATGTAGGCAATTTCGCGTTCAAAACAGCACTACGACTTTGAATGGAACTGTGCAGAATGTGTGCTCCATCCCAGAAAGTTATTGAAATGGGGAAACTCCATCCTCTAAACACTGGGGATGGGGGAAGCATGGTGCTTCCGAACCCACCTCATACTTCATTCCGAGGGCAGTGCCGAATCGGACATTTCTCACAGCAAATGGAGTTTGAGTCATGTTCTCAGTACCTCCTGCCACAACAAGTTTCGATTCACCGAGTTTGATTTGCTGAAAAGAAGACTTTCTACACTCAGATACGTATATGAGGCGAAGGAGTTACCTGTGTAGCATTGATCAGTGCCTGGAATCCAGATCCGCAGAGGCGATTCACCGTTAGAGCTCCTACATTCTGAGGAACACCGCTTTTCAACCCGATATGTCGCGTCAGGTATATTCCATCCTTAGAGCTTGAAACGACATTACCTGAAGACATAATTTAGGGGAAGGACATGGGAAAAAATGGAAAGTAGAGACAAGAAAGGAAAAGAGCTCGATCATCATCACCAGTGAGAAGTGGCGCTCATAGTGGAGCAGTTCAGAACACCCGGGATACGTCAAGAGCGGCAAAAGGGACGTCGAAAAG